CTCTAGTTCAGGAGCAACCTCAGATTTCTAGTCTTGAAAATACATGTACTGACTTCAGGTCTTTGAAAGCCACTGAATAGTTTTCAATAACCTACTTATAATATCGCTTCTAATATTTTGTTCTGCCTTTTTTTGTTTATTTGTTTACATCAAATGGCCCACATAATTTCCCAAAACTTAACAAAAAAAAGAAATAGCTCTGTAGTTCTCCACCAAAGCTTGTCAGTTTTGGTGACATCTCTCCTTTGTGCTGTGAGGAGTACCTTTTCCCTTATTCCAGGGTCTAGTTATCTGACAAAATGTTAAAGACTGAAGATAAATAATATGGTAGGTAATTTGGTATTTCTCTGAAGATGTTTTCTTTTTTTGCACATGGAAATAGGTAAAAATAAATAGCTGACATTTTGCTGTGGGAGCCCAACACAATATAATTATACAGATAGATAGAAAACAAATGTAGTAAGGCACTGTAGCAAATTCAATTATGTTTCTGGCAGCTATTTTTTGCTTTCCAGTCAGAGAAGATTGCATAGGTTCAGAAGCCCTAAAGAACTCAATATTGGAAATAAAACCAGGCAGATGATGAATAATAAAAAAATACATGCTCTTCATAAAAATAATTAGAAAAATAGCTGATAAAAATCTTGAGGTTTCTGTTCAAAGAGATGAAATACATGTAAAATCATATTTCAGGATCTCAGAAATGTGCCCAAGTCTTCTAGCAAAAAGGAGGAATTGAGCACTTAATATTAACAAGGTAAGATATCTTAAGAATGGTTTTACGTGACAACCAGAGGAATTATAAATATTGGAGTGACTGAGATGTGAGAGTTTTATTTTAGCTCATTTTCTCCACATAAGTAGTTTGAGTTTTTTAATATTCAATTGCATTTGTGCTTACATGTCTTCATGCACACTGAGTTTTGTTCCTCACTTTCTCTCATTTGGTCCATGTCCAGAAATTTCAAATTTACCCAGGACTGTTGTACGCAGATAACACCATTTTTTTCCTAAAGTTCTAGTTACTGACTTTAATGTCAAAACTCATACATAGGATTAACAAAACCATATAAAATACTGACATATTACACAGAAAGACTCTAAAAAGTATCAGAAGGTAAAATTTCCCACTACTTTTCCTCTATTGCTCTGTGAGGGAAACAAGGAGCATGTTCCTCGAAGAAATTCTGCACAACACAGCTGCAGACAGGACAGCAAAGGAACAAAATTTAGCAGCATTAATTATAGTGCTTAAAACCAGGGTACTTTTCATCTTTCATAATGTTTGCATTCAAAGCCAAGCGAGACTCCAAAAGCAATTTGTGCAGCAAGGCAAGCTTCAATAAGGGAGTTTGTTGCAGCAGCTGTACCTTCACAGTTTTGCATTACAAACCATTTAAATGAGGAATACAGAAACCCACATATAATAAATTCAACAGCAGGTCAAGTTTTTACATGAAGGACTGAAAAATCGAAAAGCTGACAGCATGGGAATTAATGAGAAGGAGAACAAGGAGAGTAGAAAAAATTCATTTTTGCATTCATAGAGGGGAGCATATGAACTCTACTAACTCCAGGTTTGCTTTGTTATCCATTCCTTATGTTCTGTAAAGTAATATTTAAATACAATACATGGCTGGACATTTTGAGTTACTTAGCTCTGTTTCTTGTAATCAAACTAACAGCCCTATCCATTATATATCTTCATATATATGCTAATTTTCAAAATCGTGAACAGAAAGTGCTTCAGTTGATCTTTAAGACCACGATTCAAACTGATTAGAAGACCAATTATTGGAGGTGCATGAGGTGCACAGAACTTTAAAAGTGAAATTCCAGAGTATCCTTAAGTCCTCAGTTAATCAAAATTTGAAGAACTGGAATTCTCTCTAAGGAAGAATTCTAGTATGACAATCTATGATTTCTGGTTTTGACTTGCTTACTAACTCTCTTCTAGGAAGGTAAACAAGTTCAGGACCCATGCCTCAATTTGGCCTCTTTTGAAAGGGAGATAGTGTACCACATCTGAGATTAAAATTTGTAGCTAGTAGCTCTCAAAATATTTGTCAAAAAATGCTTTAAATGATACAATAAATACAGTAAATACTTTGCTGACTTGAGTTGCCTAATTTTTTAAAAAGTAAAAATATTAGGGTTTCTTATTGTAGAACAGCTGGTCTCATTTTTTTCCCACGAATTTATTTGTACTTACACTCCCTCTAGGTATATTGGGACAAAGGTTTTCAAGTACAGTCTTCACCAGATCTACGTGCACCATTATTGTCACAGATTTTCATTACCATATCACTATTTCTCCAACTCCCAATGTCTACAAACCCATGCTATGACACGAATAATTTGATCTTCCTCTGCCTTGTTTCTCCTGCAGGAAAAAACCGCACAGAAATCACATTGAAGTGATATTGGTGGGAATGATGGGAGAATCTCTTCCACATTCTCTCACAGGTCACCACACCTGCAAAGTGTTGTGCAGCTCAGGCTTGCCCTGAATCTAACAACTTTCTGTGCACTCAGAAGGCACCAAGGCAGTATGACAGCATGCACTTAGAGCCAAGTATCTCCTACCTTACAAGCCAACATGCCTGGAAAGACAGGCAGCAGAGCCTTCTAATGGAAGGCTTCAGTGTAGTTTGGGGCACCCTTTAATCATAGAATCATAGAATCAGCTGGGTTGGAAAGAGATCATCTGAGATCATCAAATCCAACCCTTGATCCAACACCACCACAGTTACTAGACTATGGCACTAAGTGCCACATCCAGTCTCATCTTGAAAACTTCCAGGGACAGAGAAACCACCACTTCCCTGGGCAGACCATTCCAATGCCTGATTACCCTCTCTGTAAAGAATTTCTTATCATAGAATCATAGAATCATAGAATAGATTGGGTTGGAAAAGACCTCCAAGATCATCAAGTCCAACCCCTGATCCAACTCCAATTACTATATCATGGCACTAAGGGCCACATCCAATCTCTGCTTAAAAACCTCCAGGGATGGTGAATCCACCACCTCTCTGGGTAGGCTGTTCCAATGCTTGA